TGTACGTAACTCTGTACAGTATTGTACGTAATTATCCATAATATCGATTAAAATTGTGCGTACGTGACGTATGTTCATGGTTGTACGTAAGTTACGTATGAAATAGTAAAAAGAAATTCTGTGCGTACGCTTTCTTTTTGTTTATTTCGGGGGCATTTGGCCGTAAAACCGATTATAAGCAAATCAACTGAAGATTGTTTATCAAATTAATTGTGATATAGAAATAAGCAGTTTCATAAATTCAATAAATGATCAGTTTTACACAAATCTGAAATTGTAAAATATTTTAAGGAGTCTCAAAATCAGAGGAAAGGCAGGGCAACGGGCTGGAATAAAACGAATTACCACGGCAGGGGAAATAAAGAATAAAAGAAACAACCAACTACGCCAAGGAGAATCCTGCGCATAAGGCACCACTGTGCCCTTACCACCCCGTCGCCCCGTCTCCGGAGCGAATCTCTAATTAATTAAAAAGTATGTGTTGTCACTTGTTCTACTCGGTGTCTCCCTGCCAAGCACCCCTGTCGTGCACTGCCGAGGCACCGCCCTCCTCCTCCTTCTCCTCCAAGAAATATGGCCAACTTGCGATGTGGGCAGTTCGATATCACGGGCCGCTGGAGAAGCGTACGGAGTAGTGAGGAGGCTGACCAGCCTGGTGGATCCACCAGCCCCCTCCCCTCATAGCACTGCGGCTGCACCAGCTAGGACTGGTGGCCACAGACAGAGCTAAACTTACCCCAACGATGTCTAATATATGAGTGGCATATGGGCTAGAGTCGCCTACCCATGGGTAAATTTCCTGCAGGAAATTTACGAGGACTATAGTTTCATTCGTAACAGAGTAGAATTCCTCAAAATAAAGTAAATATCAGAAACCATGAATTCATTTTACTTGTGTCATTTTTAGCAATATCTCTATTGTGCACAGAATACATAACTTCAGGGACCTAATGTCACAACAATGTTTCTGACTTTCTTCTGCTCAGAGGGAAGAGAGGGGGGAGAGAGAGAGAGAGAGAGAGAGAGAGAGAGAGAGAGAGAGAGAGAGAGAGAGAGAGAGAGAGCTCTGGCATCAGGCTACATCTGTCGAAGCCGGCTCTGCGCGCGTACACGGGGCTGACAGCGTAGCCAACTGGGCAATCAGGTTTGCCAGGGAATTATTTAGTGCGTTCGGCTGCAGCGGGGACAAGCTGGGTAGGGTTGAGGGAGAGAGGCGAGCCCACAGTTGACACATCGCAGGCACACAGTAATGCTCAGAGGAACGCACGTCGACTTTTTCGAGCATTTTCAGCTGTCGAAGCGTCAACTTCGGCATATCAATGCTGACATTCATTTTATTACACGAGAACGACTGCCTGATTTCGAATAAAGTTTTGAGAAGTACACTCTAAAATGGAGGTGTATTTAGATTGTCCGCCCTGGTAACTTTTCTAAAATCCCCAAAAGTGCTTTGCGACCTAGGTTTCGTCTGTCGGTGCAAATTCCGATGTGTGGGTGCGTAAATTTACAACTCGTGGGTTGGTAGGGGAGAATCACATGCCCAATGTGCGAATTTCAAGTGTGGGTCGGTAAATCCGCAAGTTTGGGTACGAAAATAAACCCACCCCATATAGACATTGCATGCCCACTGGGCCATTAAATCAACTTTACAAGACGGGTAGGCAAAGTTGTAGTCCACTGGGCGTGTAATATTCCACTTATTTTTTTTAGTGCCACTCTAAATGTCCAAGGACAATTTTTGTAACTAGCACCGGACTTCTGTGTGCATAACTAGCTTAGATACAATGTTGTAACTACCAACACACATTTAGTGACTAGCAAGTGACAATATTGTATCTGAATTCAGTTATGCACGCATAAGTCCGGTGCTAGTTACAAAAATTGTCCTTGACATTTAGAGTGCACATTGAAAAGCAGAACATCTTCCCGACCCTAGAGTCAAACCGGCCGACATCTCACGCTCAGGGCGCGTGCTTTACCAACTGAGCCATAGACGCGAGATGCTGGCTGTCGCTCCGGGGATCCTGCCATTCTACGCAGTCGCTGACGGCTCAAAAAAAAGTATGTGTGTAGAAAATTTTTTGTTCGCACAACATGTACTAATTTGTGCGTTTTGAACACTGTTAAAAGTATTTTTCGATTTCCAACACTTTCATGATACGAAGCAACTGTGAAATCACAACACTTCTTTGTAGTCCCAAGTAGTGCATTTTGCTATCTTACTTGGGAATAGTTGTGAACCAATTATAATAATTTCTGAAGTTATCAATTTTTGACTGCGAAGAAGAGTACTCACAACGTTGTGATTTCACAAAGATTTTTGGCAACTTTTTTCACAACGAATTCTTCGTAAAGTTCGGCCCTTTTTTTAAACAATGAAGTGCGTGAACAACATATCAAAAGATGGTGATAACTTTTTGGAGGTTTATTTGGTGAGAGGCTAGCCGGGACCCACCCCTAGGAGCGCGAATACGCACTGCAAAGTATTTCTTCGCAACGTGAACTCACAGTTTGCACAGATTCTGTCAGCTTAGCAAAGAATTTATTTCCAATACGAACTAATCCTTTGCACTAATTGCAAAGAACATACAGTTTGCAAGCATTTTACAGTGCGTACGCGAATTCCGCCGTCCTGCGTGCGTATACCGTATTGCCACGGGAGGGCTTGCCCTTTGCCTGGTGATCTATTGGGCTGGGGTCGTGTAATTATCGTACGACAACATTTCCAATGATGCTACAGAGGAGGCCAGAGTAGTCCAGGGCCAGTGGCAGACATCACAAGCGACATGCGCATTACTGGGACGGCAGTCGCTCCGGGCAGCGTGCCCAGCAGCGCAGCTCACTCACGGTTACGCTCGGCACACGTACGCGTGGGGGTCAACGTGTGTGTGTGTGTGCGCGCGCGCGCGCGCGTGTGTGTGTGTGTATTGTGTATGTGTTGTGTGTGTGTGTGTGCGTGTGCACAGCAATTACTGTCGCACTGCACTCCGAGAGTAAAACGTACGTCGTGCACGGTGGTACATGACCCTCTCAGTCTCCACTTTCTGCATTCATCAGAAATATTCGGCATGTAGCGTTTCTGAGCGCGCAGCGGCTGCAGCCACGAAGTGTCGTCAGTCTGCTCCGAGTGTACTGCGAGCATGGCGATCAGAGCGAGTGGTAAATGAGGCGGCGGGAGTAGCGGGCGCGGGCGGTAAATCAGACTCACGAGGAACTATACAGGCAATGCGCTCATTTCGTCTGGCGGGGAGAAACCTTGCTTCCCGCCTTTCCCTTCCCGAAGGGGGTGCATATTTACGTACTTAAATAGGGGAAGAAGCGGCGGGGTCTGGTCGGTAAGGGAGGGCCAGCGGGGGCCGAAGGAGGCCACCTGCAGCGGGGCAGGCCTCCCCCGCCCCGCCCGGCCCCAATAACGGGTCCACCTCCTGGTGAGCGGGGCCGGCAGAGCCCCGCCCGGGGTGGGGTGGGGGGTGGGCGTGATTGTTTCTGTTTGGGGGTCCGAAGCGAGCACAAATCACCTCAACATCCCCCCCACCCCCTTCCTTTTCACACGATTTTCACAGCGTGTGCGCGCGAGAGAGAGGTCGGGAAATGAGGGAGGATGAAAATGTGTCTTCGAAGCAATCATCGGTACACACGGTGTCCCACAGGCCCCGTGCTGCTTTCCAGTTCAAATGTGCCGCTTGCAGGAGTATAGGCGGTTCTCACACGACGCCGTACTGTCACGATCTTACCAAGAAATTTCTTTGCAAATTTGAAAAGCATTTGGTCTTGTAAGCTGCTTACGCAAATTGCCTTCATCTGCGAAGCAGCCAAATGCTTCTCAGCTGAGCTGACAAACTATTTTCTTTCTAATAACGCAAAGCTTTGCTTTTGAAAGGTTTCAACAGGGCGTAACGCCCCGCCACGGTGAGCGACGCAAGGCATTATTAAAGGAACGTGGATTAGTATTAAATTAAAGTGGATTATGCCGATCCTTGGCACATTACCACAACCCCGCCCCAAACGTAACCCATGACGCACACACGCCCCTCCCCTCACCCCCCTGGTTGACGACACCACCCCCCGGGCCCGGCCTACAACACGGCAGGCACGACGCCCACCGCGGCCCGCACGCCCACGGGGCCCACGGCAGCGAGCAGGCGATAGACGGCCAGCCCCTCAATAATACGACGTCTGGTTTCCCCGGTGCCGTGTTGGTGGAGCAGGCGGGTGGAGCAGCGGGGGTGGTGTGGTGCTGAGGGAAGAGAGGAAAAAAAACGGGGGAGCGGAAAAAAGTGGCGTGTACCGAGCCAGCTCGGCCGAAGCGCCATGAGATGAGATGTGCGTGGAGGAGAGCACTCACTCTCCCTGCAGGTGAGACAGAGATGGATAGGGAGTGATTGGGCTTCACGTGGCTGCGGTCTCTCTTTATTTCTCATCCTCCACCCCCCCCCCCCCCCCCCCCCCTCCCCCGGCCTCCCTCGAGGAATACTTCACTATAAATTCACCCCCCCCCTCTCCCTCCGACTTCCTCCCACCTTCTACCCCTCCTCTGCCACTCACGGCGGGCGGGAGAAAAAACATTGCGCGCAGATATGTTTCAGACGCGTTGTAATTTCCGCTCGTCTTTTCCGTTCCTCCGCACGCTGTGTGCATTACAACAACAGGTGGCCTGGTTGGGCCACGAGTGACATGTGCCATGTCCTCGCGCGGCCCTCACCGACCCTCATCTCATACCGCCGCACACGCTCTTTTGTCCCGTCACCACTTCTTTTTTTCTCAACCTAGCGCGCGCGCGACGTTGAATTGCATTCGTACGCGAGGCTGCTCGCGCTCGCCGCTTCCTGCTGCCTTGCCTGCCCCACACGAACCTATCCCTTCCCTCTCGACTCGACGGCGAGGCAGCTTAGCGATGCCACGGCCGGGGCGCGAGAGTTTGACTGCTACGCTGGGGCTCACGCGCACTTCCTACGTGTCGGAAATACCCCCGCGGGACAACGCATACGTGAGGCGTAAGGGTCCCAAAGAACTTGGTCGTGTCCTGCTATTTTTTTATTATTTTGTCATCATCTCTTTCGGAAGGCGCCTTATTGCGTCACATCTGACGATAACTCCCATAGATAAAAAGTGGTTATAACAGAGACGAGAGAAAAGGGCTGAAGACAGATAATAGATTCTATATATGCATTTTTTGCGTAATAAGTGAAGTATCGTACCTCGGTAGGGGCTGGGGATGTGGGATTGGAATGTATCTAAGCCTCTACGTCTACGAACGTCTTCTGGCGGCTGGAGGGTGGCAGTCGGTGGCACACAGCCCTCAATAGTAGAAAAGAGGGGGAAAGGGGAGGTGAAAGGAGGGAAAAGCACTATGAAATGAGTCCCTTACTTCAGGTTTGGTCCCTCGCTACTCAACTCAACTCTTCCAGAGAGCTGCGCCTAGTCACCGCAAGGTACGTGTCCTGAAAACCGGGTATAGTGTTAAGCGGCGTTCACCTGTAGCGAGCTCTTGACGCAGGCACCTCTTCACGCCTCGGCCGCTCTGCGCGGCGACCGCGAGGACCCCACGCGTCTGCAGTACTCCAGCCAGGTCGAGGAGGCCGTCAACCAGCAGATCAACTCGGAGCTGCGCGCCAGCTACGCCTACCTGGCCATGGTGATTCAATGGGCTGCTCGAGAAAGCGACGACGATGCATCGCGCTCAAAGAGATCAGACCAGCCTTTGTTTTATTTTTCTTGAACGAAACTGATGCCCGTCAGGCGTCGTTCTTCGCGCTGCCGTCAGTGGCGCTCCCCGGGCTGGAGAGCCACTGCTGGTCCATGTCCCGCCGCGAGCACCGCGACGCCCTGCGCCTCGCCGCCTACCAGACGAGCCGCGGCGCCGCCGTCGGCTTGTCCGGGGTGGAGGCACCCCGGCCCGCGCCGCAGCAGGACGGCTGCTCCTCCACGCCGCTGCAGGCGCTCGGCGCGTCTCTCGAGCTGCAGCGCTGCCTGACCGAGGTGCCAGCCCGGCTATGCGCCACAGCTGCCACACTGCGTGCGGGTCAGGTGCGTCCGAGACACTCAACCCGCCCGACTCTTTGTCCAGAGCCTCTTGGACCTCCACGAGCTCGCCAGCAGCACGGGAGACCCCGTCACCTGCGACTTCATCGCCACGAGGTTCCTAGCGAAGCAGGTGCGTTGGCGTCTGTGGTGACTCTATTCGTTGGAATCTCGCCGAGGCTAAAGCGCGCCGTGTCCACCAAGGTCAGGCGCCTGGAAGCGGCCGGCCGCTACCTGACGCAGCTGCAGCGCCTCGGAGACTCGGGCCAGGGCCTGCACGACTTCGACGAGTGGATCCTCCACAGCGTCGCGGGCAGGCCGAGTCGGGTGTCGGAGGCGACGCACTTCAGAAGTTTTAGCCCCCCTGACAATAACAAGCATTAGCGTATTCACGAGTGTATTATTCGCCCTAAAACTCGCGCCCTTGCCTAGAGGCACCAGCTAGTTTTACAAGCCCGTTTTATTCCGAAATTTTACCGTGCGGTAGTTTGTTGAGCAGGAGAGGAGGGCGTCGCCACGCCTGCTAAAGTGGCACCACACCACGCTGCAGCGCGCCGGGAAGGTAACACAAGTAGCCAAGAGGGCCCCGGGGTCCGAGAGGCGGCGGGGGAGGCTTTGGGGAGGCCAGGATGCCGGCCAGGATGCGACTCACAAAGACCCGGCCGGCGGCCCCCGGGAGGAAAGCTTTTGAGACTGTTGAAATGTCTTCGCCGAGACTCGAGAGATGGCGATAACGGGTTCCGGACTGGCTAGCCACATCCTCCGTCTCCCTCTCTCTCACTTACTCACTTCGTGGACGGTCAGTCTCCCTCGCTCACTGCACCCCCCTTACCCACTCCCCTTCCAACCCCTCTCACACTCTCTTTCCCGCTCCTCGCTCTCTCGCTCGCTCTCTCGCTCGCTCTCGCGCTGTGGTCCGAACGACAAAGAAGGGGATTGTATTCTTGTGGGAGACAAAGACAGAAGCAAACAAAAGGATTTATATCTTCCTGTGTGGAGGCAGTGGAGGTCTTTGTCTCCGGACAAGAGAGGAGGAGCCAGCAGAGGAGGCGAGGGGGTAGCGGGGGCTCCACAGGCTGGCCACGAGCTGGCCCCCGCGGCCCGGCCCGGCGGGCCCGGCGGGCAGGGCAGGCCGCCTCACGCACTGACCTCGCCGCGCCGCCCTACAAGCCTATGCACTTAGACCGCGCGGCCCCCGTACCGCCACAATAATAAAGCACTCAATACCAAGCTGCCCCGCCCCGGCCCACGGTGCGAGCCCTCGGCCCCCCGGTCCGCGACCCCAAGGAAGTGCTGCTAACCGAAATGCGCCACGAGGCAGGCTCTCAAATATCAAGCGCTTTGCGTCGTCTCGAAAAGAAAATTCAAAATAAAAATAAAATAACTGCTGCAAAAGTTGGAGTGAAAGACATCGAGTCCCTTATTTACATTGCGATGTAAATCTTTCAGCATCCGCACGAATGTACTGTCAGGGCGTGAGAGGCTCGGCGGCTCTACATGAGCGAATGTAAAGCGGTCTCACACTTGACACAATTACCAGCGTGGCGTACAGATCTGTGCGTGAGCTGTAGCCGAGGCTGTAGCCGAGGAGGAGATACCATCTGTGCGATTCTCGCAGACGCAAAAGCCCGCGTCTGCTTTCTCGCCGCGGAACAATGTTCCTCGCTGTCAGGCAGGGCAGGAGGGTACCTTCCCCCGTCCTCTCCGTGCGCTCCGAGACAGACAGACAGCGCCGCCGCCGCCGCTGCTGCTGCTCCGCAATAATGCCCTGCACTACGCCCGCCCCACCC